TGCCAACTCCAGGTTGGAACTCCAGGACATAGGGTTGCCAACTCCAGGTTGGAAACTTCCAGGATATTTTAGGGATGAAGCCTGCTGAGGGTGGGGTCTGAGGAGGAGGAGGAAGAGGGGGACCTCAGACAGATACAATGCCATGCTGCCCACACTCCAGACAAGCTGTTGCCAGTCTCCAGGTGACAGCTGGAGAGATCTTAAAGCTTTGGTGCTACTTCAAAGTTCCCCAGGAGCCCAAAACAGAGTAGTGTTTTGGAAAATCTTTAGGAATTGTTTGGTGCATTTACGATGGGGCTCCTGGGGAACTATTGTTGCCAATCTTGGCCCAGCAGCCATCAAACCATTCTCTTCAACCCCCTGCTGTGCAGCTGACTTTCCCCTAGGGTTGCCAATCTCCAGGTGGGACCTGGAGATCTCCCACTGTTACAATTGATCTCCAGATGACAGAGATCAGTTCCCCTGGAGAAAATGGATGGTTTGGAGGGTAGACCCTATGACATTATACCTGCTGAGTCCTTCCGCCCCCCCCCCACAGCTGCCCTCTTCAGAATCCACCCCCCAAACCTCCAGGTATTTCCCTCCTTAGAGCTGGCAATCCTACTTTCCCCTCAGTGCCTGTTGGTAGGCATCTAAGCTTGGTCCTGTCACCTACTTTGGCCTTTGGGAGAAAACACATTGGGGCCAGTCCTGATAGGGTTGCCAACTCCAGATGGGAAATTCCTGGAGATTTGAGGGATGGAGCCTGAAGAGGGTGAGGTTTGAGGAGGGGTGGGACCTCAGACAGGTACACTGCCATAGACTCCACCCTCCAAACCAGTCAGTCCCACATAGGGAACCATTGTTGCCAATCTCCAGGTGAGGGCTGGAGAGCACTCAGAATTACAACTGCTCTGCAGAAGGGAGGGCAGAAGTCAGCTGAAGTCAAAGGGGCAGATAATGGTAGGTTGATGGTTAGCTGGGAAGGAGATGGGGTTGCCAACTCCAGGCTGGCAAATTCCTGGGGATTTGAGGGGTGGAGCCTGGAAAGGGTGGTTTGTGGAGGGGTGGGACCTCAGACAGGTAGAATGCCATAGACTTCACCCTCCAGACCAGCCATTTCATCCTGGGTAACAATTGTTGCCAATCTCCAGGTGAGGGCTAGAGATCACTCAAAATTACAACTGCTCTTCAGGTAGCACAGATCAGTTCCTCTGGAGAAAACAGTGGACTCTGTCATTATACCCTGCTGAGGTCGCCACAGCAAATTGACACTGTTTGCCCAAAGTCAGAGCACTCTCCCAGAGCTTCTTTCTGGATCTCTTTGTATTTATTTCCACAACGGGCCTTATTCCTAGTATCAAATAAATAAGTAAGTAGGTAAGTAAGTGCAATGCTGATCCAACACTACAAGCTTCCAGTCTGGCTCTGTTTTTCTAAGTGGCTAATTTAAGAACATAAGAAAAGCCTGCTGGATTAGACCAGTGGTCCATCTAGTCCAGCATCCTGTTTCACACAGCAGCCAACCAGTTGCCCTGGAAGACAAACAGGGCATAGAGGCCAAGGCCCTCCCCTCTTACTGCCTCCCAGAATTGGTAGTCAGAGGTTTGCTGCCTCTGGATATGGAGACTCCCATCAGTCAATATGGCTAGTAGCCATTGATGGACCTCTCCCCCATGAATCTATCTATCCAACTTTCAAAGCTATCTATGCTTGTGGCCATCACTACCTCACCTGGCAGTTAATTCCAGTGTTTAATTACTCATTGAGTAAAGAAGTATTTCCTTTTGCCTGTTCTGAACCTTTCCTCAACAATTTCATTGGGTGCCCTCAATATTATGGGAGAGAGAGAAAAGGCTCCCTTTATCCACTTTGTTCACCCTATATATAATTTTATAAACCTGTATCATGGCTCCCTGTAGCCATCTTTTCTGCTAGACTGAAAAGTCCCAGATTCTTCAGCCTTTCCTCATAAAATGGTGCTCTAACCCCCTCATCATCTTGGTTGCCCTCCTTTGTAGTTTTTCCCAGTTCCACAATGTCGTACAATGCAGCTATTGAAAGAAATGGTATTGTTAGGAAGTGCTGGAGTGTTGTGTAAGATTTCACAAGTTGAGAACATTAAAGCTGAGAAATTGCTTGTGCAAATGTAAGGTTCTGTCTCTGATTTCCTCTAGAGCCCCCAAGTTACTCTGCATGGTCTTTCTCCCCCTCTCTCTCTCCCCTCTCCCCATGTCCACCTTCTTTCCTCCCTGCACCAATAACCCCTCAGATCTGCGGAGAATGACAGCTGGCTTCATTGGTATGGCCGTCTCCATCATCCTCTTTGGGTGGATCATTGGCATGCTGGGCTGCTGTAAACAGCATGAGCTCATGCAATATGTAGCTGGACTGCTCTTCCTTATGGGAGGTGAGTTTTATTCTCATCACAGCACCATTTCCTGAGCAAATGAAGGGCTTGTGTGGATTTGGTGTAGTGCCTGAGATGCAATGAAGCAAAGCCGTATTGGTTTCATAGAACATGAAACCCCACTAGTTAGATCATCTGTAGTTTAAAATGCTTGATGTTATTTTCAGATGAGAAAAAGGGAAAAAAAAAAAATGGGGCTGTGCCAGGAACTGGCCAAGTGATGCTACTGACCCTGCCCTGCACAGCCAGTGTGGTGCTGCAGCTATTCCAATCAAGGCTGCTACAGAGATGTGTGTGTGGTTAAAGGCATGAAATCCCATTGCAGATGTGGGCTCCCACTCTGTAGGAGCATTCCTAAAAAAAGCACAGCTCTAGACTTTTAATTTATTGCACTTTTACCCTACTTTCAGTCCAAAACATTGGGCTCCAAAGTGGCTCTGAGGAGTTGCTGACATTTAAAGCCCAATTAAAATGCTTAGTTTTATTTATCTTTGGATTTGTATCCTGCCCTCCCCGAAGGCTCAGGGCGGCTCACAAGGGGCACGAATACCCAAGTTAAAACACTAAAACACAGAAAATATAAAATACAATAAATACAGTTCGCTAAAAATTTCTTTACGGTGCTCCTTGGGAGGAATGCCTCTGTGCGGATTCTTCTGTTTTCAGCCATGGCAGTTAATAGCTGGAAATCCTCCAATGAAGCAGGATCCAGGCATGATGGAGTAGTGCATTTCCCCTGCTTTTCAAGAGGATTATGGCTGTGCTTCCAAGTCCATGCAAGGAACATTCATTGCTGTCTACACCAGTTTGGTGTAGTGGTTAAGAGCGCGGACTCTAATCTGGGAGAACCAGGTTTCATTCCCCACTCCTCCACATGCAGCTGCTGGTGTAACCCTGGGTCAGTCATAAGTTCTTTCAGAGCTGTTCTCTCAAGGGCAATGCTCCAGAGAGCTCTCTCAGCCCCACCTACTCCACAGGGTGTCTGTTGTGGGGAGGGGGTATAAATCCAATCTCCTCTTCTTCTACATTGGAGAAATTGTACAGCAAGAGGGATGGGCTGGCAGTTGTTCAGGATTTATTAATCAGCCATAAAAAGGCTGTCATCTTCCTGTGGTGCTGGTTACAGAAGGGTAGAAAGAATTCAGAATAGTAACTATAGTAATGTTTAAAATAAATCCTTCCAGTCTTTGTGATCTTAAATAGCAAAGATGGAAGAGTAAGGGAACTTCTGCTGGCCTAGATTAACAAATGATATTCTAGTGCCACATTTCCATCATGTAAAGTATTTTAATATAACAGTAAAGAAGAATGCAGTGTTGGTTTGGGTTTTTTTGCTGTAAAATGTATGAATATGTTTATAGATATGATCTTGCTCTTTGCTGGGGTGATGATAAATGACATTTATCTTTATCTGCCAGTGTTCCTCACCCTTGTGTTTCCCTTTTCTGCAGGTACATGTTGTATCATCTCCCTCTGCACATGTGTGGCTGGAATAAACTTTGAGCTGTCTCGTTACCCCCGCTATGTCTATGGGCTGCCAGAGGACATCAGTCATGGCTATGGCTGGTCCATGTTCTGTGCCTGGGGAGGCCTAGGACTAACGCTTCTGGCTGGATTCCTATGCACACTAGCCCCCTCCCTCAATACCCCTCGGACTGTTGTACAGAAACCCAGACAGGAAAATGGTGCCGTGTGATAACTACAGAAAGAAGAGCACAAGAGACTCTAGCAAGCACAGTCCAGCTCCAGCAGTAGGGTGCTGCCAACACAGCGCGGGCCTCAGAGAATCATAGAGAAGGGTGGTCCCCCTCTGTGGAACAATCTAAGTGATTTAAATTGCTTTGACAAAGACCTCTAGGAACATCACTCTTGGATTCTTCAGACTGCTTGTCTTTAACACAACTATACTGGCCAGGATTATTTCTTGCTTCTGGCTTGCCTAAAGGAACGTTTTCTGTTAAATTGGGTGTGATGCTGTAAGGGTCTATGTACTGTTATGTTGAATCAGATTTCTGCTAGAAGCAGAAGCCACTGTGAATTCCCTTTGGTATCCCATGACCTTGGAGAGCTCCATTTCTGACAGAACTCTGAGTTCCAGTCAGAGGTGAAGGCTGAAGGGAACTCCACCCAGCCTCAGTATTGATTCTCCTCTACAGCAGAGACACAATGCTGTTGTAAGTGTAGCACTGACTACTGCATCAAATCTACTTTCAACACCAGCTTCTTTTGAGAGGGGTTTTAGCCATCCAGACAGGGAGGGTGGAAAGTCCCGGACTACTCAGTATCTGAATCTTGTCAGTTCTGGAAGCCAAGTACCTATGACAGAAGTTGTTCGTAAAATAACTTGTGCAACAATGCTCCGACAAACTAGAAAAATGTGCATACAGGCTTTAGGTGCTGAAGGAATTCTTCCACAAGAGGGCAGGCAGCTGTGATTCAGTTCACAGATTTCTATGGATATGTGCAAAACTAAATCAAGCTCCTAGCTTGTGAAATTCATGCTTTTCAGGGGGAAGCAAAGTAGATAAAACTGAATCAGCCCAGCAAATGAACCAGGGCTACTGTCCTACAAATGATGCAGTCATAGCAACTAATGTGGTAGCAAATGAACTTTTGCCAACTCTTCAGACTGAATGTGGAAAATACAGATTCATTCATGATTATTATTTTGGAAGATGAGTATTCAAGATGAGCACAGAAACTGAAAAACTCAACAGCCCCTCAGTGACATCCTCTCACAACATGGAGAAAAGGAAGCTCTCTCTCTCTCTACTGAAGGGACTCAGCTTGTTGACAAGCAGAACTGGGGCTAACTCAGGAACATCAACCATGGTGCTGGGGCAGGAGAAGAGCACCAGCCTGTCCTCACTGTGCTGTGCTCCTTTTCTGTCTCCCCAAAAGACTGCACAGGAGCCTTTTTTTAGAGAGCTGTTTACATTGTATTTTTAAGTGGCATGTAATTAATTACTCAGTGCTAAAGTCATTGTATTCATGGAAAGTGTGATTTTTTTAAAAATGGAAGTTGTAAGTCTCAACAGGCATTAAATTAAAAGGCTTGAGTACACTGAGCAGATGGAAGTTCTGTTCTACGGAGACACAGCAGGTTGTGATCTTAACCCTAGCACACTGCCTCTGGCACAGGTGGGGAACTGCCACATTTTCCCCCCTGCAGTCGCACTAGTGACTCCTTTCAGCCACCAGTCTCCTCTTCATTTCCCAGCGATTAAGCTGCATGTTAATATGGAGCCTGTCTTACTTCAAAGTGAAAAGCCATACTAGCACCAGTAGTCAAAGCAGACAAGTAGTACATCCTAATTTTGGCAGGTGAACTCAGTACATTTAGCTCCAGTGTATAGGTACTTTGAAGAATACTGTGGCAGGTTGTAGAGCACAGTGTTCTAATGTCCTAGGGGGGGTGGTATTGGAGGGTACAGGTAGGGTATCATTAGCCTCATATGCAGCTTACAGTGTGCTTGAACTTCTTTTGCGTACTCCAGCATTTTACACCAGTGACATGGGATATGCACCATACATGCATTAGGACATCATCGTAGGGAGTTCGCTCCCCTTTCCTCATCTGTAGCCATATAACAGTTGCCTGTGTCAAAGCAAAAGATTTATTTTTTTCCCATTAAGTAAAATACAACAGTTCAGTTCCAGCGGTTTCGATTTCAGCCTCTCTACCCAGGCTTTCATATCCAGCTTGAGGTATCAGGCATAGTACTGAAGATTGGCTTTCTTCTTGGCTTGAACCTCCAAGATTCCTTCCATGTAATCTTCGTGGGTGAGCTCTGTAGCTCCATGGCGGAGTGCAATCATCCCCTGCCCCAATAAGAAAACAAAAGTCCAGGAAGTGAGACTCAACTACATATCACACATCCTGGCACGGCCACACTGCATTTACCATGAATCTCCCCAGTTCAACATTTGCTAATGGAATTAATTTCTACCATTTCTTAATGGAAACATAACATGGAAGCAACTTGGCCAAACCTACTTACCGCTTCCACACAGACAGCCTTGCACTGTGCACCGTTGAAGTCATCTGTGCAACGAGCCAGCTCTTCATAATTCACATCAGGGCTGCAGAGAACAATTATATTGATATCTTTCCACTGAAGAGGAACAAGTACATTGAGAACATCTTAAAAACTATAAAGCCAGGGTTGAGAAGGCTCTGTGCTGATTTTTTTTTAAAATTCTGCAAACAGGAAAGGTTGAATTCTGCAATTTCTATAAATTATGCATATTTGTCCAGTATCCATAGTGTCTTGTTTTGTAGGATTTATTCCAGTCTTGCTAATTGTAAGATAGGACAAGAAGGGCAGCAAAACTCTAATTTTATTTCAGCCATCAGTCTGGCTTCAGCAAGTGCTCCACACACATTCAGATATATTTTCTCAGGCATAATAGCTATAACTTGGGGGGTGGGTGGGAACAGAATGAAAGCCAAGATTCTCAGAAAGCCCAATTGTGTGGCTAATAAATGGCCCATTCCATTTTATCAGTCACAGCACGCACTCAGCCGTATCTAAAATCTACTATCAATACTGAAGGGAAAACAATAAGTGGCCTACCAACATGTGACCATTTTCACTGAAAATAAATTGGTTTCCTTCTTTTTTAACATCAATACCTGACATTCATCTTGCGTGAATGGATCTGCATTATCCTGGCTCTGGCTTCCTCATTGGGCATTGGGAACTCAATCTTTCGATCTAGACGGCCTGAGCGAAGTAGAGCAGGGTCCAGGATATCCACCCGATTAGTTGCAGCAATCACCTAGACAAAGGAGATTACTATGGAGTGGAACAAACAGAGGATTCTGTATGCTGGATGCAGCTGAATCTACCAAGACCTCCCTCATGAGTTAAATTTCTAAGTTATTATGTAGTATGCATCTATAGCGAAAATTACCTTGACTTGAGTGTTGGGCTGCAATCCATCAAGTATCAGCAGCTCCAACATGGTCCTTTGAACTTCCCGATCACCAGCTTTCTCACTGTCAAATCTGAAAACAATCACAGGAGAGAGTCAGCTTTGTTACCCCAACTGATGTCCTGAAAAACAAAACAAAAACTCATTCATTTCACCTTTGACATAAATGTATAAATCCAATTCAAACATGGCACCAGTAGACAGGCAAAAACATCTTCCCTGTACTTCCATATCATCATAGTAAAATAGAAGGTCAAGGTACATGGAGGGGGTAGCAGTGTCACCACAAAGACACCATTCCTTTCCAAGCCAGTAATAGTGGACTGACTGAGGTAGTGGCTGGCTGGTTAGGATGATCTTATGTAAGCTGTGTATTGCTGTAGCTATGCGGAGCCAGAAAAATGGGACAGCAGGTTTTTTAAAAAAGTTACTGGGCCATACAAAGCTACAAAAATCTGATCACCTACTTGCCAAATGATATGGTTGTAGTGTCACCACAAATATGCTACTACTGTAAAACTGTGCTTGGCAACCAAACCCCCCCAATGCTCCTGTATTTCTCTTCCTCAATGCAGAGGGTATGAATAGTACAGGAAGTCTGAACATCTAGGCTGCAGAGCTAAGATGCAGCTGTGGAAGGCTGTGAGTGGACATAAGCAGTTGCTCTAAGTTACTCCTGACCCGTTTTGCAAACTGGCAACGTAGAAGATGTTAGACTGCTGGTTAAGTAAGAGTTATTCTTGCAAGCCAAGTATACAGGAAGCTGCCTTAGACCACTTATGTCAGTCAAAATCAGTACTGTCTACTCAGACTAGCAGTGGCTCTCCAGGGTCCCAGAGATAGGTCTTTTCCATCCCATCACCTGGTCCTTTTAACTAGAGATGGCAGGGATGAAACCTGGGACCTTCTGCATGCCAAGTAGATACTCTATCACTGATCCATGTATCCCACTCAGTAACAGTTTGCTAAAGGAGAAAAGAGCATGGCTATATAGAGGCATCCAAACTCTTGTCACCAAACACAGACAAATAAAAAGTAGTTCCTAATCTTGCATGACTAATAACATTAACATTTGCATAAATAAAAATAACTCTCAAACTAATCTAAAATTTCTCTTGACTCACACACAGAGCTGTAGTAATATGGAATTCATAAGTTGATTCTTATATAATTTCAGACGCATTCCCTTCTGGTCTGAAATAATTCAGTATTGGCACATACACCTTATAGATTTATACCTGCAACTAATGCCAGGGGGTATGATTTCAACTGAAACTGTATCAGATTGCAAGAAGGATCCCTGTTATTACCACACAGTTCTGTCATGAGAAGTAAATTCAGAAAATCTTCTGAAGTGGTCCCATGACATGTATTTGTACTGAACTACAAAAACCTCTTTCCTCCCTTGCACATTATGTGCCCTTGAAGAATTATGAAGGATCCTATAAATGCTAAAGAACAAACTTTCCTGGAAACTCCCTATGTGTTTGACATGGAAAAAAGATCCTGAGTATTTAGCTCAGATTCTATAGAAAGGTCTCACCTCTTTGTGCCAATGGCATCTAGTTCATCGATAAAGATGATAGAAGGTGCCTTCTCCTTGGCTAGTGCAAAGGCATCTCGCACCAACTTGGCACCATCACCAATGAACATCTGAACCAACTGTGGACCAGCCAGCTTCAAGAACGTAGCCTAAAGGGCAGACAGATGAAAAGGAAGGCAGATGCAAGGCTGGAGAGTTCTGAATAAATTAGATAACCTAGCAAACAAAGTAAGCAATAAACCCAGATTCTGCATCCTAGGAGTCTCCATTTATATAAAGTAGAGCAGATTTATTATACTTTCATCCTACTTTTCAGTCACAAGTTGATTCCTAAAGCAGGCCACAGAAATCAAGATCTAATACAGATGAATATCATTATTCATTATACGAAATGTTCCCTGGGGAGAAGAATGCCAGTCAGTCTGTAAGTATTTGGGCACTGTGGATGGGTGCCTATCTACTTCCTTGCTCTCTATCTGCTGAGACCATCAGTAGCAGGTACAACCACAGGGGGTGGTGCTCTCTCTCTTCTGGATCTAGCCACAAGGGAGGGATACCTAGTTAAAGATATGCAGATGGAGTATTAAAGCATTCAGATTTCTGCATGTAGTACTCAGTTATGAAGTACCCTAATGCATATCACCACACAACATTGCCTTTCTCCCCTATAACCAAAGTGGAGAGCAGATCCTTTAGGAAACTGATAAGAAATGAATTACCTTTGTTTGTGCAGCACATGCTCTTGCTAAGAGGGTCTTCCCTGTTCCTGGAGGTCCATACATGAGAACCCCTTTAGGAGGCTGGATACCAAGGTTTTCAAATTTCTCTTTATGATTCATTGGCAGGACAATGGCTTCTACCAGCTGTTAAAAAAATAGAAAGATAATTAAATCTGCCTTCAGTGTTGTCCCCTTAAGCACCAAATTCTACTGTCAGCAGCAACAGCAGGGGAAAAAAAGCACACCAAACAAACCAAAAGACCCCACCACACGCCTTAAAGCCCATACTCCACTTTGCATACAACTTGGTCTCTTGGTTTTCACCTCTTGGATCTGCTGTACTCCACTTTGCATACAACTTAATATTCTTTGCATGCAGTAGTCTCTTGGTTTTCACCTCTTGGATCTGCTTATCTAGTCCCCCAATGTCACTGTACTGTTCTGTAGGCCTCTCATCCACCTCCATGGCTTTCACACGCGAGTCATACTCTGTAGGCAAAGTCTCTAGAATCAGGTAAGAGTCCTTGTTGACACCCTGTGAGTAAAAAGCCAATTATTATCCTTCTTTGTTCCTGTTAGCAAGGTCTTTTCAGATTCACATTTGTTATGGCTATAAACCCTGCAAGAACATGGGGTAGTGGGGACAGAATCAGAGTTTCCAGTGGCATGGGAGAAATAGGACAACGTAAATATGTAGACATGTTGTTCTAGGACATTAGAAGACTTTAGCAAATGTTGCTGCTTTGGGTTCATTTTGGATCTTGTTTGGCATTGAGAAACATGAGATGGATGTTTTATTATTTAAAAGGCAAGCAGTTACAAAATGGGGAAAAGGGCATAATAGTCACTGATCTCCATGAAAGGTACAGAATATTCAACTGGATTGTAAGAATTATTAGTCCAAGGCATGAACTGAGAACAAAGTTCTCTCTACATTTCTTACTGATTTACTATTTGAGCACTAAAAGTTCTATCAAGGCATTCCTTAAACCAACACTAAGCTGTTATTTTGCGAAGTAACTCGGGGTGTATGCAAAATTCTGGATTTCTTAAATATTTCAGCCAAAACTGAAAAGTTACCACAAGCTACATCACTGTACAGCCTTCACATATACCCTGGTTAATTTAATAGAACAGTTGACATTTAATAAAACAACTGACAGATAGTTGAGGAACATAAAGGTTACTGGGGATCCACCAAGATTATTAAGGTGCTGTATGAATGCTTTTCATGGGAAACTGTCCTCAAAGATATCTGGTGAGGAGTGTGATTTATCAGAAAACCAACCCAGTAAGTACATGTTGCGGCTCATGCTGGTGTACAATAGAAACTGCTCACCACTAGATCTCCAGGCTTCAGTTTCTCTGCATCAACTAATCCAATCACAGGCAGAAAGTAGGTCTGTTGAAGAAGAAGAAAAAAAGAAACAAAATGTTAAAATTGGACTTCAGAAGCCTGGCATTTTGATCTGGGAGTATGAGTCTTTCTTAGGAAGATGCCCTGGGTCCCAATCCCTGACAAAGCCTTCAGGGTGAGGCAGAATGTCTACATCTTTAATGAGGTTTCAGTGAATCTGGTGGAAAGGGGTTGGATAAAGTCTGTGCTTTGAAAAAAACCAATCCATGACATGTTCAGTTACAACAATTTCAAGATAGCACATGCTTCGAAGAGCTGCTGCTAGCTGGGAGTAAACAATGCTCTGCTAGATAACTGAAGGTCTTACCTCAGTACAAGGCAGCATCACATGTTTTCATATAAATGACAGGAGACTAGAACCAAAGTTCTAACTGCCTCGGGAGGTGGTTGGATGCTCCTTCGCTGGACGTTTTCAAATGGAGGCTGGACGACCATCTTTCGGGTATGTTGCAGGGCTATCTTTCGGCTATGCTCCTGCAGAGTGCAGGCGGTTGGACTAGATGACCTGCAAGGTCCCTTCCAACTCTAACATTCTATGATTCTACTCTCTGCCAGCAGAAGATTTCTTCTGTTTACAGGGATGCAAGCCCATGTGCACACATATACAATTTTCAATTACTCTACCCTCCCACTACAAAACCCAAATCTGCCCAGCAGAGCTGCTGAGGGTTTTCTGACCTCCCCCCACCCCAGGGCAGCACTGTAGGAAGGATGGAGATCTGCCATTTTGGGGGGGGGGATGGAAAAATTTATGTGAGCAGAGCTCCACTCACAGTACTCTGGCTCCAACTCTTACTGTCTCTACATACTGTTCTCACCTGTCGAGTAGAGGTTTTGATGACAGCACACTTGCCCTTCCTTTGAGAATCTAGGTCAATGTTTGCTCCATCTTCTTCCTGGTCATTAGGGTCAACATCCAGCAGCTAGAGATACAAAGGGACTATTAGGAGGGTACTTGATCTAATGTGAGGCATATAGTATTTGCAGAGGCTGCAAAGAAATTAAAGAGTACATCAATGAAAATATTTATGGCACAGGAGCAGCTCGGTGATATAGGAGCTGGATTAGATGATCTTGGGGGTCCCTTCCATGATTCCATGACTCTATGATATGGCTCCTAAACAGAATATCAGACAGGCCATACTGACAGCACAATAGTTTCATGACTCCAAAAAGCTTAAATAAAAATATATAACCAGATGCATATCTACTAAAGCTTAGCAAATCACACACCTTTGAGCTAGACAGTATATTTTTTAGGATGTTGATCATCATCTCCTCTCTATATACACAGTTTTTGTCCTTTTGACACTATTATTGTGAAACAACCACCAGTCCTTTTCACAAAATACCAAACGAATCTCTCATATTGCAGTGAAAGCTATCTGTGGTAACAGCTTCAATTTTATTAGCATAAAAAACTTACCTCTATGACATTGGAAACAAGGTAAGGCAAGGTCTTATTCACTTTTATCTTCTCACTGTTTTCTTTGATCTTATCTTTCATGGCTTGTAGCTCATGGGTCACTCTCAGCACCTCACTCTTCATGATCTGTAAAGAAGCCCATACCATTATTTAACAAAGGACTTCTGTTTTTAAAGCATTATCAAGTCAAGAAAAAAGGAAGCAGATAAACTGAGAAAGCAGAGCAGTAAACAATTTGTTTCAAAAACCTACATAAAATAAATAGACTAACCTGGCCCCTAAAATGTAAATAAATGCACGCAATAGGACGATTTGCCTTCTATGATGCACAAATTACATATCAGCACACTAAAACAGGTCAGTGTTTCCCATCCAGAGTACTTTTTGAGGCACTGGATGATGGTAAAGGGTTGCCGAAGAGCCAGCGCTGTCCGAAGACGTTTCCGTGGTCATGACTAAACACCAAGGCGCACAGAACGCTGTTACCTTCCCACCGAAGTGGTACCTATTTATCTACTTGCAATTTCTTGCTTTCGAACTGCTAGGTTGGCAGGAGCTGGAACTAGAAGACGGGAGCTCACTCCGTCTTGCGGCACCCGGGTCTCGAACTGCTGAACTACTGACCTTCCACAGCCTGCAGTTCAGTGTCTTAACCACTTGAGGGGGCAGGGCAAATTCGGGAGGGAGCATTGCCCCAAGGGCCCCCCATGGCTATGAGCCTGGAGTCCACCTTCCAAAGTGGTCATTTGCTCCAGGTGAATGGATCTCTGTTGCATGGAAATCAGTTGTCATCCCAGGAGATTTCCAGCCACTGGCCTGGAGGCTGGCACCCCTAGTTGATCATAGTGCTACTTTCAGACGATCCAAAGGGGTGGACTAGAAGTGGGCTCAGAACACGAGATGTAGTCCATAACAAGAGCATGTACACCCAGAGCAGGTTGGTGGAAAAGAGCAGAACTGGAAAGGTCTGGCAGGGGAAAAGAACTTCATGACACCAAGTTTATATGAAAGGAGGATTACAGACTAGGCCAGCCCTCCTCAACTGCACCTTAATCTCGCTGTCCAGCAGGCGGGTCCGCTGCACGATCTCTTCCGTGGACATCTTCAAGACCTCCTCGCCAATTCCATCCTGTGGAGAAATACACCGTCATGGCAAAAGCAGCGCCGACCCCGCTCGCTAACACGCTGGGACCTTTCTGAGGACACCTCCGACGGGCCGGAGTGGTGGTGGGGAAGGAGGAAGGTCAGTTGGCACCCAGAGGAACCTCTCCCCCCCCCCACACCGGTTCCCCCTTTTCCTTACCTCCGCCTCATCCCAGACCGACGCCATTTCCCTCTCAGTAGAACAGGGAGACTGCGTGTTTGAAGCAGCCGATTCCACACCCGCGAGAGAAGTAGCTCCAGTGACTATTCTTGACGTCACGCCGCACGCGGCTCTCACTCGAACGCAGTCCCCGGCTTCCTTTCCCCTCTTTCTTGTCAGCCCGGTGGACAACGCTAAATCGTCGAAACTACCGAGATAGTCGAAACACACGCTTTTTTGTTGAGTCATGTGACTACGCTCAAAAACGCTGAATAATAGCCTAGAGTCGACGATGAAGGTCCTGCCGCCATCTTAGAGTGGGGCAACGGCCAGATGCGCGAAAGGTTTGCAAACCATAGAGACAAAATAACGAGAGAACAAGGACCGCTAGCTTCCGGTTTAAGTTAGATTTCTGCTTTTACAGCAAATACAGAACACATTAACATGTAGGCGAGCGGAATGCAACTATAGTTAGAGCTGGCTTTACTGCAACCAGGAGCGGTGTATATTCTGTACTGGAATGGGTGTGACGCGCGGTAATTTACATCACGTCGGGGGACAATGCTCTGGTTTGTGGGCAAAACTCTATGGTAAGTTGCCCTCAAACCAGAGTTTTGCCCCCAAACCAGAGTGTTGCCGTGCAATGTCCCCGACATGATGATGTCACTTCCATGTGAAGTAATTGCGTTGAGGATGTTGCTGTGTGACCTGCTGTTTGGGGGTGGGGTTTCTCCGCCAGACAGCGGGCTGGTGGTGGGCAAAAGCCCCCCAAAGCAGGGGATCCCCTGCCCCCTCTTTGGGGAATGGGAACCCTGTATGGAAGCCTACAGAAGTCAGAGGGTTGATTTCTTTTTCTAGACATAATAAAACAGAGACCCAGTGGCTGCTTAAAATAAAACTAGTTAATTATAAGTTTTAAAAACTCTGTTATAACTCTAGCAGGTATTGATAAGTTGTACCCTCTCCCAGTACCAGTAGAGAATGAAAAACTACATTACACTAGCACGAAAGGAACTAAGGCCATAATGCGGGGGAGTGACTGTTCACCCTGGAGCAAAATAAAGCGTAGCCCGATCATACGTTCCCCGAGGCTTTGCGCTTAGGCTGTTAGCTGGCGATCACACTGCGATGCTGGCGCGTGGCAAGCGTTTCGCATTTGTGTGCATGCGCAGTTCCGCAGAGCAGCACTGCTTTCAGTTATGTGTTTGTGCGCATGCGTTTACGAAAAACATCCGGTTTGTGATGGGATGTAGACGGGCGCCGGATGCCACGGGATACAAGCGCTCCTGCGATCAGACGCCCGCCCCTGCCCCGCGTTTTCCGGATACTGGTGCACTTTCCGAGGTACTTTTTTACTGTGCATCTTCGGCGGGACACCACGGGTTGGCCACGGGTGTGCTACACTTCCCAGATGTTGCGGTGTGATTGTGCCCCGAAAAAACACCTGACACTCGTGCCTCTAGTGCGGCAAATCCTCCGTGTGACCGGGGCCTAAGTTACTTAAACACTAATCGTCCTTATGTATCAAAACATCTTGCAGCCTGTTTGGGGCAGAACAAAGTTCAAGTCCAATGGCACCATGAAGACCAACAAAGTTTTATTCAAAGTATATGCTTTTTGTGCATGCACACTTCTTAAGATACATTGAAACGGAAGTTACCAATCCATACATATAGGTAGAGGGGGAGCAGCAAATTAGCATACGGCATAAATTGGAGATTGATGGGCCTTCCACAGTTAAGAAGGGTACATCTGCCCATCATTCTCCGATTCTGATATATTTATTTCCTTCACTATGTTTCCCCCTGGAATTAAACCCAAACTAATAGTGACCTTATAAACTGACCTTGTTATTCCAATTTAATCCTTGTATCTGTTAAACACCTTTGTTATGCTGTATGCTAATTTGCAGCTCACCCTCTACCTATATGTATGGACTGGTAACTTCCATTTCAATGTATCTGAAGGAGTATGTGTGCCCATGAAGGCTTATATCTTGAATAAAACTTTGTTGGTTTTACAGGTGCCACTGGACTCAAACTTTGTTCTGTTTCAGACCAACACAGCTACCCACCTGCGTCTGTTTGGGAGTACTCATAGTTCCTTTCAATTTTCTCGAAAGGTGTCTCCTGGTCTGTCTGAACTAGATAACTCTTAGAAGACACCATTTTTTCAACTGTACCTCACTGGAACTGTAGTCTCTACTGTACACTGTGGTGGCATAGAAATCAAAATAAAGAAAAAACTAAAACCAAATACAGTGGAATGACATAAGTCCATAGCCAGGAATTTGAGGTACTCAACTGGAGTTAAAGATTTTCTAATATTTGATAATATTTGAAAAGAGGGTTATTTACTTTGCAGATGTTGCCTGGGAGGATCTCTAAAATCTGACTGAGTTACTTACATAGTTTCTAGTTAACTTTGTAGCATGCATACCTGCTCTATCCAAGCAGCAATTGAACCACTTAATCCATTTGTTAAAGTGTCTGTAATAATCATTGGCCACCAAATGAGAAGGGAGCACTCACTGGAGAAGACCCTGATGGGCCTTAGCAGCTCACCAGAAATTAAATGGAAGCTTTGCTCATGTGCAGCAAAAAGCATTGTCTAGTTTAACCTAACTAGTAATTTACCACAGTGTACTCTTGCTTTTGAGGAGCTGCGGTGGCTCAAGTGGTTAAGACGCTGAACTGCAGGCTGTGGAAGGTCAGTAGTTCAGCAGTTCAAAACCCGGGTGCCGCATGATGGGGTGAGCTCCCATCTATAGTTCCAGCTCCTGCCAACCTAGCAGTTCAAAAGCAAGAAATTGCAAGTAGATAAATAGGTACCATTTTGGTGGGAAGGTAACAGCGTTCCGTGCGCCTTGGTGTTTAGTCATGCCGGCCACATGACCACGGAAACGTCTTCGGACAGCGCTGGCTCTTCGGCTTTCAAACGGAGATGATCACCGCAACCCTAGAGTCGGATTCGACTGGCTTTCGAGCAAGGGAACCTTTACCTTTACTCTTGCTTTTAGGTGTGAAACAAACTGCTCAGAAAATGCAGTAATCCTATCTTAAATTGCTATTGCTTGAATTTTAGAGAAACATTACTTGATACTTCCTATGAGTAAATTCAGTCATTAAATGCAGAGAACAATGCTTCTGGTATGTCCCTGGGAGAGCATTACGTTATGCAGAAAACAACCTACTGGTGATTCCTGGCCCCAAGGATGTCCAGCTGTCCTCAACCAGAGTCAGGGTGTTTTCGGCCCTGGCTCCATCCTGTCACCACCATGGTCCTGTGGGAATTAATGCAATAACTCTGGGCCTGTAAGGCAGAGATGTTCCACCAGGCCTTCGGTTGAGGACAGCAACGGTTCCATCATAGCTGGCACCCTTATCCTTTCCTCCATCTTTTCGCTTTGGCCCCCTCCTTGCCCTGCCCAAGAAATGGCAACATAGTCCTGAGTGGGTCAAGAAGAAATATTGATGCCACCTGAGATTCTGTAACTGATATATAGATTTTATTGATTTTAACATTGTTTTTTAACTGTTGTACATAAGCCCAGAGCCTTGTGCTTGCAGGGACTGGGTGATTAATAAGTCCAATAAATAAATAAAAAATAAAATGGAAGGGATACTCACTTCAAAGGGGTTACATATTATCCTGCTAGCAGCCACATGCCTATCAGAGAATTTATAGTCAGTGCAACGGCTCACGTTGCTTTTGCATTTGTCTAATGAGATTTGTGATAGCTAAAAAGCTACTTAAAATTCTAAAGATAACGGAAGGTTTCCCTGAAGAGTGGTATTTTTCATTCTGTCGTGTGCTTAGCACAACCAGAAAATATGCTAAAGGCCACATAAGAGTTATCAGTGTGTGTACCTTATCACAGGTACGCCTTTTAAACAGTTGTTTTATAAATCTAATCACACAAGATGTGGAACTGATTTATTTCCATTTTACTATATGTCCTTTTAAAACATGGAGGTGGCAGGAGGCAGGTAGTAACGTGTGTTGCAGCAGCAAGAGAGCTTAGCTGTATGTGCAGAGCACACAAACACATTCAAATTCATTCAGACTCATCCCACTTGCTCAACCGAGCTGGCAGGTGTTCAGGCATGCCTAGTAGTGAAACATCTGTTGAAGAGCTGCAAAGTACAGATAAGAAGTTAGCCTGGTATGCTTCACTGATCATGGTTCAGGCCTTGCTGGTGTCATTCCTGTGTTTGTTGATGAACAACAGGAGATGGCAGGCCTTTGCCTTTAAGTAGATTTAGGCAAGAATGTTATCCAGTTATCATCTCTGTAAGCTAGTAGAAAGGCAACCAAGCCTACAAGGGTAGGTAGAATCCAGCACAGTCTTTTCCTCGACTTCCTCTCTTCCTCAAACCTACTATCATAGCACAAGCAGAAGTGCTATCTGTGATTTAAGTGGTCCAGAGCTAGACTTGGTCTCAATTTAGTAGCAAGGTTCCCTTTCCTGTTCATTGTTTCTCTGTAAGAGGGATGGCTCCTAATTAAAAAAACCAGTTAAGGGCATGTAAACATTGTTCCATGAATGTGAATTATTCAATGGTTTTTCCTCCTCATTGTGCAAATGCATCACAACTAGAGTGTCAAAGCTCTGTCAGGACTATTTTTGAGGAGGCTCTTTTTGTAGAAAAAGGCCAGCAGGAACTCATTAGCATAATAGGCCACACCCAACAGCAGAAACATATTAGCATATTAGGTCAAACCCTGACAGCACATCTCATTCGCATATTAGGCCACACCCCCATGTTACCAGAAGTGTGGTCACCCAGCCACACCCACCTTTTGCTTCTTATTCTATTTACTTTGTTTATTATCAAAACCCAGGGCTTTTTTTGTAGCAGGAACTTCTTTGCATGTTAGGCCACACACCCCTAATGTAGCCAATCCTAATGAGTTTCTGCTGTTGGGTGTGGCCTATTATGCTAATGAGTTCCTGCTGGGCGTGGCCAACACGGGAGCCAGCCGGAACTCCATTCCTGTGCGTTCCTGCCCCAAAATAGCCCTGGTTAAAGTGTAGTTCCAGCATGGTGCAGTGGTTGGACTAGGATCTGGGAGAGCCAGGTTTAAATCCTCACTCTGCCATGTAAACCTGCTGAGTGACCATGGGGCAATCTAGGGCTGCCAACCTCCAGGTGA